GTGCTACGATTGGTCAGCGAATGTGGCTGTTATCTGATTGGCTTGAGTAGACGATGGGTGGAGTCCACGTATTTGTGGATTGTCAGCACGTCTTGACGCAAGAAATGTTTCACAATTCGCAAATGCACAGGACGCGATTCACAAATGCGTGCAGCTATCTACAAATGCATAGGATGCGATTCACAAATAAATGCCAGGCAAAGTTGTGGTTGTGACATAAATATATATTTGTGAATTTTTTTTTTATTTGCAAATCTCATTTTATTTATTTGTGAATTTAATTCATGTTTGTGAAACTTTAAGATTAATTTGTGGATCTAATTCTATGTATTTGTCAATATGTTTAATGTTTGTTAATCTCTTCACATTTATTTATAGATCTTAATCTATTTATTTGGAATTAAGCAACAATTCTATCTCCATAGTTTTTAGACTGTCCACATCAACACTCAAAGACACAGGATTGCTAGATGAGAAAACAAACATTCACAACATTTTTGTTGTATTAAAAGTAAACCACTTTCTGTGAACACAAAATCTCCCCATTCCAAGTTATCTGTATGTCTCATAATGTTGCTTAATGCAACACTATCACAGCCAATCAGCATATATTTGAGTGTGTTTTTGGACTCAATAAAGATTTCTCTGTGTAGGGGGCAACACAGGTTGACACAAAAAAGCAATAGAAACCAAAAAAAATGTCTAGTCACTCACTGCAGTTGTGGCTGCTTAGGATTAAAACTTTTTACACGAAAGATTTTTTTTGCATCATTCTTGGATAGGAAGTGGGGTTAGAGACTGTGATGGTGGGGTTTTTCTAGGACAGATGGTGAGTTATGTAGTATAAATTATTTTTTAGAACAGAATGTGTAATTTAAGGTGTGTGGGCAAAAAAAAAAAAATCCAAAAAAGCAGGGAGTGAGAGAAAAACAGAAATAAATTGAGACAGGACAATCATACCATACCTCTTGCCAAAGCTGCTGATCGTTTTGCCAATCTTGGGTGAAGTCAGTTGGGGTTTCCGTTGGCGGGCCGCGGGGGATCTTTTGGCTCCAGCAGAAGCTTCATCAGTCTGGCGAGTGGGACTTTTTGGGCTGGATTTGTTCAAGTCTTTCAGAACATCGTAGTTTATTTTAGTGGAGATGCGTTTCTGCTCCAACATCTTTTCAATGGCTTCGTCTGCAGTGCTGGCACTGATGGGCTCACGCCTCCGTGCCTTTTTTCTAGGCTTTGAGATGACATAAAAATAAGAAGGTAAACACAAACATTTGAGACCCTGACAACTGCACCTGCATTTATGAAGTGCCTTTTACCTTCTGCACTTTATATGTACCCTCCTCCTTTTCCTTTGCTATTCTCTCCTCCTTTTCTGAAGAAAAACAAGTGTTCCAAACTCAATTTAAATGAATCTGTCAAGGCTAAAATGAACAAATTGGATATCTCTTTCACCTTTCTGTTCTTTGAGGTAGTCTGCATTTTGAAGCATCCACAGTTCAGTCTTTACCTTAACTTCCTTCTCATTAAGGATATACTAAGAGAAAAAAAGAGAAACAATATATAATCCCTTAATTCATGGTGGATGAGCTGAAGAGACAGTAAATCGCAACATATCCAATTCTACTCTATTCTAATGCAATCCCATTATTCAGTTTTGGATGTGAAATCCCATCTCAGATTTCAGCTTTATAGAACCACAAATGACGCTGATTCTCTCAATGGACAAGACTTCAAACATGAGCTTATGTAACTCTGTATTTGCTTTCAAAGCAAACTACCATGTCGTTACCATAGTGAGGTCAAAACTCACCCGATCGATCTCATCCTCGTCGATACCGCTCAGGTCTAGCTCACCGTTTTCTGCCTCCACATCTGATGGAGAAAAACAATGACTGTTCCTAAACATTTAAGATTTTATTTGTAGATATAAGAACATCACAAGTCATATTAAATTTTTTTTTCAAAATTAAAACAAAAACCACAAAATGAAATGAAATAAAATAAAATATTTGTGTTGTGAATCTCATTCAGACTGCTTTGGCAAAAGAAAAACAAAAAGAGTCTCGCCTTGTGCTTTCTCCACATAATTAAAGTGTATTTAATGTTTCACTTTCCTAAGGAGAAGCACATGCTGATTATGCATTATAGCATTTATATTTTTGCTGCCATTCAGAAAACAGTTCTCTGAGCCAGTTGTTCAATTAGGGTAGTGGATATATACTGAAAATCCCACTGCAGTCTAACCTTAAAACCTTCATAAAAAATGTCCCTCAGCAAAACCACGTGGCAAAATAAACTCGAATACATGTGTGTTTCTCTGTAGTTTCTGCCCTGTAGCAAATCTTACTGGATAGTCCACTGGGGCTGCTGGGATCATTATAACAGTGGCTCTACAGTAGAAACTTCCAGGGTTATTCTCCCTCTGCCTTCAGTCTCTTTCCTCTTTTCCAGGTCCAGTTCCTCCCTTCCCCCAACTTTACTCTTTTTTTTCTGCCTGGAGATTGCTGGCAATGCTTCAGAAGTTTGCTTTATAGAGCATCCCTCGCTCTCTCTCATGTGTTGTATTGGGGAAGGGGTTAGGGGGAAAAAGCACAGAAAGAGAGGGAAATTCTGGTTTTCTCGCTTCTGAACAGGGGGCCCTCAATGCCAGCAGATCCCGTGAGTCTAGAAACCTGACCTCCTCTTACCACTCACATCTGAACACGCACAGACAAAACACATTTAAACCAACACACAGATAGTCCTCCAATACCGCACATCAAAACACACTGTGCCATGAGTCACATGTGTGTGATGTGGTGAGAGCATGAATAGCAGAGATTAGTTACAACAGGCGAAATAAAACCACACCAGAGAGAGACTACCAGGTGCAGCTGGATTCAAGAAAAGAGAAGATGAATAAAGAGAGCCAAACTGTAATAAAACCAGCAGTGCAGTCTCTCTTTCCCATTAGGCCTAACTTTGTGTTCATGTTCAAATGTTGTTTTTTGTCCCGTCAGTTTTCATTTACTGAGGACATATCCAATTGTGTGTAGCTTGCCAGGAAAGGCCTTTTGACTAAAAATAGCATTTAAAGTGTTCTTTTAATAGTCATTTTAATAGCATTTAGTGTTACTTTTTGTTCAGTATTGACTTGGTCATGACTACTGCCAGTTAAAGGAATAGTCCACCCAAAAATTAAACGTCTGTCCCCATTTACTCACCCTCATGTTAATCCAAATACAGTACTGGTTTTTCTTTAGTGTCTTTTGCTTGCAATTACAATTAATGTGGACTGAAGGATTCAAACTTCAAAAAGGATGCAAAAGCACCATAAATATAGCCTATATAACTCGTGCACTATATTTCAAGTCTTCAAGTAACATGATGATATTACTAGTAATATGATGCTGAATCTTAAGTCACCATGAAACCGAAATTGCGATTGTCTTTTCTTCATTATTGTAATGCATTTCTGAGTGAAATGGCTTCTCGAACGAGAAAAAAAAAAGCAAGGTGGGACTTGATTTTGTCAGTCGAATGTGATTGGGTTGATGGATTTGGTCATGTGCTAAGGGCACATGAAGTTTAGAAAAGCTAAAAAATAATGATGCACTCAATTTGTTTTAATAAACACTGCAACATTCAATAAAAACATAAAATTGATAATTTCAATTTCATTATGACAGTAGTCAACATTAATTCTAGAACTGGATCAGTCCAATTTGTGAACGAATCATTCAGACTGTTTTTGTGAACCAGATCAATTGATTCAATTAAAAGATCTGATATAAAAGAACAATTTATTCACACACTGGACATCACTAGGGGTTAAGATTTTTAATGAATATTGACTAATTTCAGTCCATTCTTTGCACAAAGTTATCATACAACTTCAGAACACTTTAAATATAGTCGCATTGGTTGCTTTTATGGTGCTTTTTCAAGTTGTTTTTAAAGCTTTTTTCAGAAACCATAAAAAAAAAGGTCTGAATATAATCTCCAAAATGTATAACTTTGTGTTGCACAGAAGAAATAAAGTCACATGAACAAGTAAACAATAATAATTTTAATTTCTTAGTGAACTGTCACCTGAAAATCACAGAGGCAATAAAAAAAAACCATGAGAAGCAGAAAAAAGGAACCAAGTTCAACAAAATTACAGAGAAGAGAAACAACAAATGACAGCCTCCACCTAACACTAACCATTCTCCCTCTTCATCTATTCCCGTTCTTCAAATCTAAAAACGTCTCCATCCTGAGGCTAAATTTCTGAATGAAGTTGTCCACCTAGACATTAGCGTTTCCATGTGCCTTCAGAAAGAGTTCAAAGGCCCCCCCTTCATCTCCAGAGGTTTCACTGACACCAACACCTGCTCAGCGTCAAGCATGGTGTCTGACTAAAGACGTACTGATATTTCAAGATATCACCAGACGGACACCTCCGTTCTTTCTCTCCCTGGACAATTCTCTCTTCAGCACAAGCAGAAGCTCACCAAACATAATCATCTGATAACGTCACTCAAACTGACTGGCGGGTCAGAAGAACAAGCGCTAAAGCCCAGTGAAAGGAAAAGACGCACAATGGAGATGCAGAGATATGGAATGAGAGAGGAAGGGGGGTTTCTTCTGGAGGCGAAGAGGGCAGACAGCCCCATTAAAAACTGACCCCTTCTTACCCCTGTGACTTCCCCAGGGAAACCCCTCGCCCACTCACACACCTGCTACAACTCTCTATATCGCCCAGAGGCTGGAAAGAGAGAACGAGAGAAAGAGAAAATGTCAAGAGAAAATATATGCATGTGCTTTTTCACACTCTACTGTACATCCACAGAGTAAAAAAGGGGGAGGGTTGGACATATTTTTGTATAATAAAATGGAAATGTAACAGCAGAGAGAAGAAGAGAGAAAAAGATTTGAACAGACTTTATTCATGAGATTTCCCATTCCCACATGTTCGGTTGCTCTTCAGGTGTTAAATCTAGACAGGAAAACAGCCTCACGGGGGTCCGTACACAGATTTTTCTGTCAGTGCATGTTAACGGAACAGTGAACGTGTCTATCACATGGATCGGGCCTCCCACAGTCATTTGTTTTTTCCCCTCTCCATACGTCTGTCAGTCAGTCACACGTTTATGATGTCATATTTCACACAGATAGCAGCGTCCCTGTCGGATGACATCACATCACTGTCAGTGCATTTCATTAGGAGAAAACAAAGCAATAAATGAGTGACATGAATTAACAAAGATAACAAATCAAACGGCAGGAAAATAAGGGAATGTAAACATTATAAATCATAAATGTGTCATGTTGAAAAAATTCACTACAGCTAGCACAATGTTGCTATGATAATGGTTTCACAGCTTCAAAAACTTTTTTTTTTAAATTATACTCGTTTAAAGTTGATACTACGGCTTGGTGATGAATTTAATGATACATTCATGTAGATTGCTGGAGAAGTAAAATGAAGTTACACTGTGAATATTGTACAGATTTTAATGTGCTTTTGATGAGAGAATTAAAATTCGATATTTATATGACTATATATACAGTACCATTTAAGAAACATTTCTTATTATCAATGTTGAACAGTTGTGCTGTTATTCTTAGAAATCTTTGGTGAATAGGAACATTAAAATAAATACATAGACACACACATACAATCTCAGTGCATGTTAACTACATAAATATCAATATCGTCAAAAGGGTGAAAAAGACAGATAATTTTTTTAGCTATATCACCAAGACCTAGTATTAACCATAAGACCTACAACTTACACAGCACCTCAAAAGCATGTGATCTGTGACATTATTCTAAACATTGTGTTTATGAACATCATTATAAAGACTAACAAAGGCACATCTGTGTGCATTATAAAAGCCTTATGAATGTAAATTACCATCACTTTTGGCCCATCTGTCCTTTACAAACCCCTAACAGCTGTCCTGAGGATGTGTTCAAAGCGAACAAGAAGAATAAATGTCACTCACACACTTACTCTGTCTTTCATTCTCCTTTGAAAGGCAACTCTCCCTCCCCTCCTCTCTCTCTATCTATCTCCTCCCACTGTATTCCTCTTTCCTAGTGTAAATGAACAAGTCTTTTCTCTCCTCCTACTCTGAAGATCCAGGAAGACTCTGACAGATGCGAAGAGGGGAGGGCAGGATCTATCTACTTTTTTATGTTACAGGCAAACAGTGAACAGTAAAAATATGCAAAGGGACTAGAAATTAGACAGAAATAAACTTAATGAACTGACTTGTCAATTAACGAAAGGAAAAACAGAAGCACAGTAAAACTAGATATTCTGGCATCTCCTACTGTGTGGTCAGCAAGGGGGCCGGAGAGGACAGTGAGTGACCATCTGGAGACTCACACTCACTGCGGCATTGTTAAGATCGCAGGTCCTCCGCCCCCTCAGAGAATTACACTGCATTACACAGCAGCACTGGGTTTTTCTCTCCACACACATATACACACACAAAGGGAAACCCTTCTAACATCCTCACAGAAGAGAAATTACCTTAGAAAAACAGGAAAAGTAAAAAAGAAAAGGTACAAAAAAGAAAGACAGGATGAGGAGAGGATGGAGACCTTCAAACGCCAGTTTACAACTTGCTCTCTCTCACACAATTTCAACTGAGTATCCTTTATTGGTATGGCAAAAACTGTATGTTTATACTGACAACATATTTCAAGCACAGCAAAATTGTGAGAAAGAACAGAGAAGCATGAGTCAATACTACTCTTTGAAAATTCATATACATACCGTAGAACACAGTGTAAAGGGTAGTATAGTAAATCATTTAAAACAGTTTCTGAGGAAATATATTAACATTGTGGAGTAACATAGATAGTAGGAACTGATGAATTTAAATAAAATGGAAAAAAATGTAATATTCATTCATTAAAACAAGTTACTGTGATAGTTCACTCAAAAATTTAAATTCTGTGATCATTTATTCACCTCATGTCAGTACAAACCTGTATGACTTTCTTTTTTGTGTATAAAAAAGATATCTTGTGAAATGTCTCAGTATTTTTTGTCCACAAAATTGAAATCAATGGTCACAAAAAGTATTTGGTAATCAACAGAAAAAATACCTTATTTTGTGTTGTGGAGAACAAGAAAATCAAACAAGTTTGGAATGATATGAGAGTTAGAGAATGACAACAATTGTCATTTTTGAGTAAACTATCCCTTTAAGGAAAATTATGAAGTACAAGAATAATGGTGCCAATAATGGTGATAATGAAGTTCTCTATCTCTCTCTGATGCAACATACTGTATACTGGCACATCACACAAACATGTTTGTATTTTTAAATAAGAACATCCAGCTCACTCTCATTCTCACACAGAAGAACTAGAACACTCTAACAAGCATCTTATTGTTTGGAATGGAACAATGAGCCTACCTAAAAATAAACAGAGAATAGACAGAAAAAGCTGAAGCAGACAGAACCAAGACAGAAGTGCACACACACAGAGAGCCATATTGTCAGTGCCCATATAAAATCACAGAGATTAAATAAACAAATTGAGAAAAATAAATGACATATTGCTGCCAATTTACAAGGCATTCACTTGAGTTTACATAGACGCTGGGCAAAACAAAAGCACTAAAAATACCTCTTCACTGAGTCATGATTTTTCCTGAACCCCACTCAAAAACCAAACCAAAATATATACACGCACGCACTGTTCGAGCGGGTCTCGCGGGCAAACAAACTCGCACACAGCCACCCATAGTGGGTGGATGAAAGACAGTGTGCTAATGACAAGGTGCTGTGTTCAATTAATGCTTCAAAGAGTGGAGGGGGGGCTTCCTCTTCCTCCACCCCATACATATCATCCACAATCACCACAACCAATCGAAAACATGGCAACCTGCTCGCACAGCCAATCACACAATCTGACAACCTGCCAAGCACACTATCCCCAGGAGTTTACCAGCTGCAGCTCTTCTGCCTGTGATCAACAAAGTCTTATTCTCTCTCTCAAATGCTCTAGTGCTATAGAGTAAACGCAACAACCACAAAAGATAACACAATCATTTCAGTCACTCTTCAGTCACTCAAATAAGTCACTCTTGAGGTTCTGTTGTGCAGAGGCTCGGTAACTCTCGCTATAGTGTAGATGTGGTATAGATCAAAATTTTAGAAAAGAAGTCACTCCCATTTCACTCCTCTTCCTCTATTTATAGCATAACAGCACAAATGTCTGAATGAAGGGTGAATCTAGAATAAAAGTGAATTAAAAATGGATAAATGGCAATGTCTACAAAAGGACTCACTCCAGTTACACTCCACATCATATACTATATTTATGTCATAACAAAACAATTGTGTGAATGAAGGGTGAATCTAGAATGAAAATGGATTAATGTGAATGCTTAGAAGAGAAGTCACTCCAGTTCCACTCCTCTTCCTCTATCTATAGCATAACATTACAAATGTGTGAATGAAGGGTAAACCTAGAATGAAAGTGAATTAAAAATGGATAAATGGCAATGTCTACAAAAGGACTCACTCCAGTTACACTCCACATCATATACTATATTTATGTCATAACAAAACAATTGTGTGAATGAAGGGTGAATCTAGAATGAAAATGGATTAATGTGAATGCTTAGGAGAAGTCACTCCAGTTCCACCCCTCTTCCTCTATCTATGGCCTAACGTTACAAATGTGTGAATGAAGGGTGAACCTAGAATGAAAGTGAATAAAAAATGGATTCATGTGAATGTCTAGAAAAGGAGTCACTCCAGTTACACTCCATGTCATCTATTTATGTTATAACAGCACAAATGTGGGAATGAAGGTTGAATTTGGAATCAAAGTGGATCAATGTGAGTTTAAAATAGGAGTCACTCGACTTACACTCTTCTTCTACATGTCGTAAGAACTCAAATGTGTGACTGAACTATGAAAAGTAATGAAAGCGAATTAACATGAGGGTTTAGAAAAGAAATACTCCAGTTCCACTTTTCAAATTCTACTCATGTCGTAATAACACAAATGAGTGACTTGACAATGAATGTGGAATAAAAAGGAATTAATGTACAGTAAATGATTACAAAAGGAGTCACTCTAGTGCCATTCTTCTACTCATGTGGTATTAGAACAAATGTGTGACTAAACGAATGTGAAATAAAAGTGGATTAAATGAAAGTGGATTAATGTGAGTGTTTAGAAAAGGAGTCACTCCAGTTCCACTCTGCTTAAACTCATTACAAAACAGAAAAAAGTGTAAATGTGTGAAGGGCAAATGTGGAATAAAAATGGAAAGAAAGTGGATTAAATGAAAGTTAATTAACGTTAATGTTTCACAAAGGTGTCATTCCAGTGCCACTACTTCTTCTCTACTTATACCGTGTCATAGTTTTGACAGCAAAAATAGTGATAATAAAAAGGGACTGTGGAATTAAAGCAGATTACATGTTTATGCAGTTTGAAAATACAAGCACACTCCTACCATTCTCTTTTTCCTCTCTCATTTTGGTGATGGACTCGGGCAGGCCCAAACTGGCTGCAGTGGGAAGTGCTCCAAGCAATAATGCTAACGAGGGCCGTTTGGTTGGAGAGACTTTCTCTCTATCTCCGTCCTGCTCATTGCCATCTCCATCCTCTCCAGATAAAGTACTGCACAGGTGAGATGCTGCTGCCCTCAGCTCGTCATCCTCTCCTTCCTCATCACGAGCTAGGATGCTGGACGACGCCAAGGAAATCACATCATCTGGAAAAAGCAAGCAAGAAAATATGCACACATCACAAATGAATCATTGCAGGAACATCAAATAAAAGAGTATAATGAAAGAAAGAAAAAAACTGCATGAACGCAAACACAGTGAATTTATTTTTGTAATTAATTTATTTTGCTAATTAAAACATAAATCTAGATGTATTCGGCCTTTGATTTTAAACTTCACTATGATCCAGCTGAGAAGGGGTGAAAGTAATTATACAAACAAACAAACACAGTTGACCGCAGTAACACGTGCATGCACACACACTACTGTAAAGTGAACACACATGCATGAACAGAGACACTCAAACACACATACAAACACTCCCATACTCGCGGTCTTAATTAGTTCCCTCCTGTAATTACTACATTATTATAGAGAGATAACACGCATGGGGAAACACTGGATCTCTGATTGTGGGTGCTGCTGAACAAGGAGCTAATTGCACAGCAACATAAACAGAATTTCTGCACAAGGGAAGTAACACTCCATTTCCTGAAGAAAGCAGCAGTTCTCACAAAGCAATTCTGACAACAAGATAATCATTTGTTTTAAACGTAAACATTTTGGGTGCACTTTCCAGTATTCATACACACATTGATTACCCATATCTTACCCTTGTTCTTACCCATATTCTAATGAGAAATCTGGAATATCCTAAATGAAGGACTGTGTGCCTGCAGTTAGTAATTGGCAAAATACATACTCAAACAATCTTCATTTCACAATCTGTATTTCTGTAGCTTAAACAGAGGATCGTAAAAAATATTTTTCAATATTACTGATTTTACTAGGGATGTAATGATATTATCAATATCGAAATATCGTGATACCAAAACTCGATATTATCGTGGTCACATGACGCTCTTCTGGGCAGAAAGTGTATTTTTAAATATATATTTAAATATTCTAACATAAAAGGTCTTTAAAGTTGTGTTTTTGGCCATTATGCTTTGACAAAGTATCTGTCAGAACTAAAACCAAAAGCACAATATGGCTTAATCCCTTCATTAAGTCTGTTTTTGCTGCGCATTTCAAAGCAAAGCGCACATTGTTCATGCGATCAGCTCGTGATCCGGTGTTTTCCGTACCTCCGAACGGCTCCGTTCACAGTGAACTCGTTTATTGCATGTACTGTGAGTTAATGTGCGTTTGGAAACGCAATAGCTACCAGTTAGACTTTATTTTCAAAGAGATATTCTTTATAAAAGTTCAGAGTCAGCCACACCTACCTAAAACGGCTCGTTCTAACATGCCCCCACATATCTACCTCACTATGTGGGAAGATTTGCATAACACCGCCCAAATGTTCACGCAAAGAAATAAGCCGTAACTTTTATTCTCGCTGTAGTATTGTTGACGCTGCAGCCATGTCGTGACAGAACAGTTTAACCCAAATCCAGATGTGTGCAGCACATTTTATGGAGGACTGTTTACTGATCCTGGGAGAGTAACGTTAGACTAAAATGCCGGCAGTTCTGACTCACAGTCTGTAAGTACGTTTTCATTTAAAGGATTTGCCACTGATGATTCAAACGCGAGTTTTGGGCAGTAGACTAGGACTTGTTGTTTGTCATTTCTCTGATCACAAACGCAGACACAGTTTTATGTTTACGTGGCGCGATGCAATGCAACGCAACGTGTAAAAAGACAGTATAAGTCATTATAATCAGTAATTATGTCCCCACTGGATGCAACAAATGCCTCGTTTGTAATGGGTTTTAATGTTTTTGTCTCGTCGCTTCGGCCGGGACACGGCATCAACAGTATGGTGAGAGTCGTAACATTTCCGTCTCACGCTTGAGGTATTCGGCCAATCACAACACATTGGATAGCTGGCCAATCACAGCACACCTCGCTTTTTCAGACCGATGAGCTTTGTAACAATCGACGCGTTTCAAAAAGGCAGGGCATAGAGGAGAAACAATAATGTACAGTATGTGGAAAATAATGTTTTTTTTTTTTCACTTTAAACCGCATAAACACATTTCATTACACCAAATACACAAAATAAGGTTCTTTTTAGCAGCATCATATGACCCCTTTAAACTTTCAAGTCAATTCACTGACGTTTTACTTAGTTAAGAAACATGGGTTGCAGCTCTTAATTTTGAACTCTCAAAGTGCATTAGATAGAATAATTGAACTTTAAAATGTACAAAAGTTTAATTTTTTCCCCAATTATTTGTCTTTTTTTTTTTTTTATATCACAATAAATATCGTATCGTGGACTTCACATCGCGATATTATCTTCTTTTTTTTTGTACAAGTATTTTTGATCACATAAATGTAGCTTTGGTAAGCAAAAGACGCATAAACATTAAAAAGTCTTAATGAAGCACAAACTTTGGAATGTTAGTGTATTTTTCTGCGGGATTGTGTGTGAACACTATACCATCTTTGGAATAAGATGCATAAATCCCCCTGGCTCTGGGCCTACAGCTCTCTAGCTCGACTTCAATCTCATCCTGATATCCACAGATTTCACCTACAGAGCACATACACACATGTACACACAGAGCAACACGTCAACAACACAACGTATTAGGTTTGTTCAAACACCCATGATGTTAATTAAAGCATAAACTCCTGTCAAAATGTTTCTAGGTACCTTCAATATCATCAACTTTCTTTGCAAGCTCTTGCTCAATCTGTGGAAGGATTCGGGAAGAGATACATTTTACGGATACAATATCGCACATATTGCAAGAATGGCTGCTTTAAATGTTAAAGGGGTCATATGATGCTGCTAAAAAGAACATTATTTGGTGTATTTGGTGTAATGAAATCTGTTTATGCTGTTTAAAGTTAAAAAAACACATTATTTTCCACATACTGTACATTATTGTTTCTCCTCTATGCCCCGCCTTTTTGAAACGCGTCGATTTTTACAAAGCTCATCGGTCTGAAAAAGCGAGGTGTGCTGTGATTGGCCAGTTATCCAGTGCGTTGTGATTGGCTGAATACCTCAAGTGTGAGACAGAAATGTTACGCCCCTCACCATATTGTGATGGTGTCCGGCCGGAGCGATGAGACAAAAACATTAAAACCCATTACAAACGAGGCATTTGTTGCATCCAGTGGGGACATAATTACTGATTATAATGACTTATACTGTATTTTTACGCGTTGCGTTGCATCGCGCCGCGTAAACATAAAACTCTGTCTGCATTTGTGATTGGAGAAATGACAAACAACAAGTGCTACTCTACTGCCCAAAACTCGTGTTTGAATCATCAGTGGCAAATCCTTTAAATGAAAACATACTTACGTGAGTCACAGTTTCACAATGAAGCACACAGCGTCTTCACGACATGGCTGCAGCGTCAACAAAACTACAGCGAGAATAAAAGTTACGCCTTCTTTCTTTGCGTGAACATTTGGGCGGCGTTATGCAAATCTTCCCACATAATGAGGTAGATATGTGGGGGCGTGTTAGAATGAGCCGTTTTAGGTAGGCGTGGCCGACTCTGAACTTTTATAAAGAATATCTCTTTGGATTTGAGACTTTAGTCTTTGTAACTTTATAGACCTTCTTTATGCACCAAGAGCTTGTAACATTCCAAAGAGAAAGGAAAAATTTAAATCGCATCATATGACCCCTTTAAGATCTCTAACTTTAAGTGCCATGTGATGTGTAACCTGTTTTAGCTTTTGCTTCCTGAGTCCAGCTATGTAAGAGGGCGGGTCACACTCCTGCTCCAGATCCACCCGCATGAACTCTTCAATTGTCAGCTCACTGGTGGGCGTGTCCTCAAATTCATTCAGCCTGTCAATCAAACACACCGGGGGTCAAGACATACAATTGAACAGCAAAATGGGCCCTAAATTCAAAGAGAGTGCAACACTAAAATACAGAAATGGCACCAATTATATACAATAATATTAATGATATTGCTACAGATTATAATAAAAGTATTAACTGAGCACAGATTGTAGTCATACTGTGATTATCATTTAAGACAAAACACACCTTTTCCTCAGTGTGGCTTCACAGACTTTCACCACACTGATCACTTCCTTAATTGTGCGACGGAACTCGTGCATATGGGCAGCAACCAAGAGCGCTACAGGGAACACAAATACACAACTGTAGAGACAACATACAGCCAATGGCAAGAGAAAAAGAGAGGATAATAGAGAAGGAAAGGAGAGAGGACGCATAGTCAAATATGAAACATTAATAAGGCTTCAGAAAAGTGCAACCGCTGTACCTGCCCCCCTACTGACTCACCTCAGGCAGAACAAACAGACATTAAATGCACCTGCAATACCGCAGAACTTCTGATGCCATGTTTCACTATGATTCATTAAAGAAACATGAAGAGCCAGATGCACTTCAGAGCTACCTGACAATCTGAAGAATGTCCAACACCACAAAGCATGCAAGCATGTAAAAGATACTTAAGAATTTTAGAGCTCAATGATTCCTCAAAGATGAACTAATTAGCAATATGACATTGAGGTTGTCATTCTCCAAAACTATTTTACTGACTTTTTACTTTTTATTTGACTGCCAACAACAGCTTAAACTGACATAATTTTAATGGATAAAAGGGTAAGGTGTGCCACTTCAGATTTAGATTGTCCTGCAAGTAAGGAGAGATGAGATTAAAAACAATAACGCAAGGTTAACCTCTCCAAAATGTAGAGTACAAATACAAATATGGACATAAATGAGAAAAAATGATTTTCTAATTCATAAACTCATCAGTATCATGTGATACTGAAGACTGAAGTAATGGCTTGCTGAAAATTCAGCTTTTACATCACAGGAATAAAAAAAAAAATTAATATTAAAATAGACAACAGTTATTTGAAATTGTAACAATATTTCAGGATATGACGCTTTTAACTGTATTTTGGATCAATTGAAATAAATGCAGCTTTGGTGAAGACTTTTTTCAAAATATTTTCAAATATTTTTTAAATCTTACCGACCCTAAACTTCTGGATGATAGTGAATATGTTTAGATCTATATAGACCTTTTCATGAAACAAAATAAATAAATAAAAAGTACTTTGTCATATAAAAAAGTATAATTTTTATTTTTTTTTAAATCACTTTTCTCATATGCATCTCTCAATCATAGATAGCATTATATGAGAGTCCTTACATCATATAAATACATGATTAATGCGATGACACATTTTACCCTGCTCTCCCCTACATGTTCAGGGTTATCAGCTACGTCTAACCCAGTGCGATCCTGTGCTCAAGTTCATGTGGTGTAATAAAAACAGCCGTTTCCTCCTCTGCTATTAACCCTGCAGGATATCAAACCAATCTGTGTTCCAGCTACTACATGAGGACTATTCAATAAGCTTGAGGCCTTCATCACGCTCAGCGGCTCTCCCTGCATCACAGTTTGTCTTCATTCTGGGTCTTTCTCACATTCTTTCATTCTCTCTGTTGGCCTGCCTTTCTTTCTCAAGTCTCTGATCTATCGCTGCGAAAAACAAACTCTTTAGGCTCATGCTTCCTCTATTCTCAGCACTCCTTCTAAAAGATTAATGGAAGATTAATTATTCAGGTTCTGCAGTGGTGGTGGTGGGGGCAGAAAAACTCACGCTGAGAGTCAGGAGGAGTCAGTTATTCTAAAAACTTAATTACTGGAACTCAGTCTTAACAGTCTGTGTCAAGTTTACACAAGACTGAAAGTGTGAGAAAGTAAAACCGATTATTGTAAATGCATTAGAAATTAGCTGCACTGGATCTCTGAGGCAATTCACAGTGCCAAGCGAGTGTGAGAAAACTAACATTTTCAGGAATCGTTCGTTTTCATCAAGACTGATTGGTGATTTTGGAACCGCTTCAAATGCACGAGCTAATCTAATTACATATTATGACAGATATACTGCATCTTAAAATGTTTCCTACAACAGACACAAAACTTTACATTCTGGAGCATGCATTCCAACTGTGGATGTTTCAGCGATGGTGTATGTGCTTTTGCGCCTCTAACAAAGCAACCCTTCACTAGCTCACATCATTAAAGAGGTCGCACCGTTAGGGGAGGGTTGCCATGGTTACCTGCTCCACAGAGGCCTGAAGGTCTTCGTCCCGTGTGCATCCAGTCTCTCTTCATCCTCTGAAGGAGACGCAGTGCCGTCATTGAAACCTCATGGCTCTTCTCTCCAAATTCCAGCATTTGCGCAAAGCGCGGGATATAAAGACACGGATCTGTAAGAAACAAAACTCTTAGGACTACAAAGCTAGATAGAGTAGATTTAGACCTTCTTAAACACACTGTTGCATTTTCAGTTCAATAACGTTCGTAAAGTACTAATATGTTGGCTCATGACCACTGATGAGTGTTCAGTCAAAATGTAATTAGTTATGATAATACAACAAATATTACCTTTATGCTCACAACTCTCATTAAATACTACATACAGAGAACCTCCATTATTAAGCTTTAGTTTGAAACCTATTAAACTATAAACATTTTAATGGTAAAAGAAACATTACAGGTAATAGAGGGAGTGCAATTTTTTGACAGTTTCCCAATAATATTTTCAAAAGGTGATGGCACTGTGTGAAAAAATCTAAATATTTTCTGCTCAACAAAGCATCAGCAAATCTTCCATCTTATCCAATGATTCCCAATCAGGGATATGTGTAGCCCAGTGGGAACTTAATCAGGCTTCATGGGGGTGATTTTGAGTTGTTAAAAACTATTAAAAAAAAGAAATGATGACATCAAAATGATTAGGGCTGTAAAGTTTTTTTTAATTTTATTAATATTTAAATAAATATAATCTTAGATTTTTATGGTAATTAGACTCTGGAGAGAGAGATTTTACTCAACTCTTCTTTTTTTTTTTTAAGATTCTTCCCATCAAATTCCTCAGTCATTCAATCAAACCATTGTCAATCTAAATGCAGGGTTGTTTTTTCCTCCCAAGCCAATGGGAATTGGGTATACATTTTTAGATGTAGGTCAGATGTTCAGATATCATATGTATCTGATATAAAAAGTGGCTCAAAACCGATGTGAAAAAACTTAATCTAATGTGTATTTTTGTGTTTATACATGTGCAACAATATCTGATTTGAGTCAGATGAGTAATTTTTTGTGCTAGTGTAAAAGCAGCTAGATTCAATAAACTGATTCAGTTTGAGGAGGCGCTACACTTTTGAAAAAATAAAGATCCCAAAAGGGGGTTTTCATAGTGATACTACAAAAGAACCATTTTAGGTTTTCCAAAGAATCTTTTGGTGATCCAACCATTTTTTTCTTGTTTCAAATCTAAGGATACGTTATTCCACTTTTTGTGCAATGGAAATATTCCATGGAAGTTAAAAGGTCTTATGAAACCATGCATACCAATAAAGGATCTTGTACCTGACTTTTCACCAACAATATTAAATGTTTTAGTTTGAACCTGAATAATTGTGTTGCATAAATACAGTAAAATATGAACTACACAAAGAAAAATACTACAGCAGTTGTATTTATAAGTGAATGATTGTAATAATGGTCATTTTAATAATGTTGCAGTATATTCAGCACAATAAAACCAATACATTTCTGGTTTAATTTTGACTAAGGGGTGCTTGAGCCTAAATGATGAGACTGTGGGGGTACACAAATCAAGAAAGGTTGGGAAACACTGATCAAATCCCCACTACATATGTTCACTATAAGCCGCTTAGATCCGTCTGTGAGAAAAAGAACAGACCGGGGGAGAGAGAGAGAGAGAGAGAAGCTGCGTGAGGACTTTACTGGGAAAACGGAGAGCAGTCGTGCGCACTACAGTATTTCCACAAGTCCAGCCCTCGTCCGGTTTCAGACTCCATCACGACCGACCGTCAACCGGAGCAATAAAACTTTTGACATCGCTTTGAATCGAGCGCACTGTCTCAGCTGTGTGATGACAACAAACTAGCGCATAAAATACAGAATTTAAGGTAAGAAGACGCACGATCTTTTCTCGTATTGTTTGCACTTGTAGAACAGTTGAAGTGTGAGGTAAACGTTACATTTTCAGAACGCAAGCTGGTTTGTAACAAATTGCAGCGCGCGGACTGGAATTTATGGATAGAGATAGCTGTTACACGCGAAACATTTCCACCTCATCGCTTTAAATCAATACTAGTTTTTAATAAAACCTTTGCCTGATATAGCATATAAATAATGGTTATGCATTTAGTTTAGGAGAAACATATTGTAGAACGAAACAAACGACGTGTACGGACGAACTTGGCATTTGATGTACAAAAATACCCCCACAAAGATCCTTTATTTGATTCGGATCATGTCAGGAGACGTTGAGATTATTTATATTATAAACTCAGAACATGCACGCGTATATATGAAGAATAAAAAATCCTCATCACTGCATAGTCCACAGAGAGATTCATAAAGGTTCTATTATCGCAGGGTTGCCAGATCCCGCGTGAAAAAACAGGCAATCTGATTTAGGGTAATGGATATTTTCGATAAATATATCCTGTATAGATCAATAGTATGCATTGTTTAGGTATAGCCTATGTATATACTCACATATACATAATGTGAATAATCCAAAAAAACAGCACATAACAATGTAAAAAAATCCAAGCCAAGTGTTGCTTATGCTGAGCAGACATGGCAACACAGAATTTACAGGAGAGCTCTGGGAGAGACAACCCTCCACTCTTGACGTCAGACGAGAGAGAGAGAGAGAGCTCAAAATAAACTCAAACTTCATAATCATTCGGTGTGGCCACAGCAGAGGAAAGATCTGCTTCCGTTATAAGACTACAGACCCTATTTTTGTCAATATTTGTTGTGAGGTTTTTGAGTGATTTTAAAACGATTCGTTTTGGAGTTTTCGGTGTGGGATTAGAGAGGACGTGAGAAAAAGAGGATGGCATATCTATGAAATATTAGCTGAAATGTGACGGTTTAGTGGAGCCGTTTTTATTTTTACACGGAAACAACGCAACATTATTTAGGAATACCACAGACCACGGTTATAGCTGATAATAATTTTTTCTACACATATTTTGGCAAACGTTTTTTGTGTTCTGATGCCCGCTGCGCCGGAATGCAAGCTGTCCCATCATGGCCGGATCATGAAATGTGTTACTTTTTTACTTTTGCTCCCTGAAACGTTAAAGAAGTTGAAGCGGGCAAGCAAGCACCCCGGCAGGCTGTCTCTGTGCTATAACATCTTAACTCTTTCCCTGAAGAAAAGGATGGCAGCGGAACTGTACCCCGTGAACGACCACGCCACAGTGCAGAAGAACGGGACTGTGATGCTGAGTCTGCCAGAGAAGAGGAAGAGGAGCGTGGAGCCAGTTGCGCAGTCCACCGCGTCCATCGCCACCACACCGACCACAGAGCAAAACATCAACAACAACAACGTGGAGATTCCCAGCTGGCATTCCGCGCACCCGACTTTACGCGAAAGGCAAGGAATTAAATCAAGTGATACATAATGTTTGACATATTTAATATCTAATTTTCATAATTATATATATATATATATATATATATATATATATACACACACTTATTTTTTAAATAACTTGTTCAGATATATTTTTCACTAAAGTACAATTCTTTGAGTCAAGTCATAATGAACATTAACAGATACTTAACATCTAAACATTTCTTAAATAATATTACATTTTTTTCTTTATTGTATTTATTAATTGTAATATCAAGACTAAATGTATTTATTTATTTTGACTTTACGCAGAAATGCACTAATGTTCAATAATGAACACATGGCAGACGTTCATTTCATTGTTGGTCCGCCCGGTGAATCGGAAAGGGTCCCGGCACACAAGGTGAGCACCTCACATTTTGGTTGTCTTCTGAATCGAACACACCTGATTCAAACCATCAGTTTTTATCAGTGGATCTGAAATAGGTGTCAGAAAAAGGAAATGCTTTGAAACTAGATGAAACACTGACGGATTGTCTCTTCCCCCTCTCTCAGTATGTGCTGGCAGTGGGGAGCTCTGTTTTCTGTGCCATGTTTTACGGGGATCTCGCAGAAGGGGACTCTGATATACATATTCCAGATGTGGAACCCGCTGCTTTTCTCATCCTGCTCAAGTAAGACTCACTTCACTAATCACATCCTGGCATTAATAACAGGGCGACTCGGCTTTCATGCCAGGCAGCACAGATGGGTTCACAGAGGCCCCGACAGTGATGTTTTGATTTAGGAGTCGCCCTCTTTAATTCAGAGCTATTAGAGATCATTTATTGGATTGCGAATGATGTACTTTTTCCCTGGGAAAGTTGGAAGTCACTATTTAAAGCAGTAGTGATGCAATAAAAAAAGGAGCATGTTAAACAGATCAGATTTTTATTTAGCGTTTTATTCTTTTCCTATGGGGCACTTGCAATTTACCTTAAACTCTCTATCTCCCTCTTCTTTATCAGATACATGTACAGTGATGAGATAGAGCTGGCGGCCGACACAGTACTGGCTACGCTTTACGCTGCCAAAAAATACCTGGTGTCTGCTCTGGCTCGCGCATGTGTGGGTTTCCTCGAGACAAGCCTGGAGGCACACAATGCGTGTGTGCTGCTATCTCAAAGTCGGCTGTTTGAGGAGCCGGAGCTCACTCAGAGGTGTTGGGAAGTGATCGACGCCCAGGCAGAGCTTGCACTGCGCTCAGAAGGTTTAACTGAGATTGACTTGCCCACACTAGAACACATTTTACAAAGGGAAACTCTGAACATGAAGGAGGCGGTGGTTTTCCAGGCCGTTCTGGGATGGGCCGACGCAGAGTGTCGGAGACAAGGCCTGAGCCCCACTTCACAGAACCAGCGCTCCGTGCTGGGGAAGGCTTTGCACCTTGTGCGTCTGCCTTCAATGACACTGCAGGAATTTGCAGATGGAGCTGCGCAGTCGAACATTTTAACCCTTGAGGAAACGCACAGCATCTTTCTCTGGTACACGGCGGCTACGAAACCTGTGCTGGGATTCCCGGTTGAGCCCAGAAAGGGGCTGACGCCACAACGCTGTCACCGTTTCCAATCCTCTGCGTACCGAAGCAACCAGTGGCGCTATCGCGGACGCTGCGACAGTATCCAGTTCGCTGTGGATAAGCGCGTGTTTATCGCCGGACTTGGTCTGTATGGCTCCAGTGGAGGGAAGGCAGAATACAGCGTCAGAATTGAACTAAAGAGACAGGGAGTGCTTCTTGCACAATACTTGACCAAATTTGTGTCAGATGGTTCTAGCTCAACATTCCCTGTGTGGTTCGAGCACCCGGTACAAGTGGAGCAGGACGTGTTCTACACTGTTAGCGCCATTCTAGATGGGAGCGAGCTGAGTTATTTTGGACAGGAAGGAATGACAGAAGTCCAGTGTGGGAAAGTCACCTTTCAGTTTCAGTGTTCCTCTGACAGCACTAACGGGACAGGGGTGCAGGGGGGACAGATTCCAGAGCTGATATTTTATGCGTGAAAACTTGGACTGATCCATTAATGAAGAGACAGCAGGGGGACTTTTCCTCTGGAATAAATGCCTTTACTCACAACATAGCTGCAAGACATTTCTAGAAGAGGACCCCTCTGATTCGATTTTTTTTACGTCTCTCATATAATGGAATGCTGCCCAAACTTATTTATTTCTTTAAACATACTGTTTTAAAACATGTACTTTAATTTAAGCAGATTTTATTTCTAATTATTCATAATCTGCCTGTGTACAGTGAAACATGGGCAGTTTGCACTTGAAACTAGGCAGCTTTTCCTCTGTCTTGTTATTTAATGGTTATTTGTTGACAGCTTGATGCCGAGTAACCGAAAAAGGGTTTCAAGAGCCTGCAAAATCATAAAATGTTTGTTTCTATTCATCAAACAATATTTTGTTTTCTTTTGTCTAATGCACAGTCATAAGACATATACTGTTTCACTCTGGGTAAAATATGACTTTTCAAAACTTTAAAAATGAAAAGTCTGTCATCATCTCATCCTTATGTCGTTCCAGACTGAATTCTTAAAACACAAAAGACAATATTTCGAAGAATGTTTCAGCTGTTTTGCCCATATAATGAAAGTAAAGGGTTCAAAACGACATTGAAACCCACTGACTTTCATTGTATGGACAAAAAAAAAATGTTGATCCAGAAACAAAAGAAAGTCAAATAAGTTATTTTACTTATAATTTACATGAGGGCAAAAAATGATGTCCGAATTTTGCTTTGTATTGTTGATTGAGCAAAGCAACTTCACTTACAGTTGCACAGCACCCTCTGGGCATTAACAGCAGCACTACACAGACCAGCTCACAAACTCACTACCAGTACAATTTGGATGAGCAGCAAAGCATCATGGGAAACTACAATGTCACTTATGTGATGCTTACCAATAGCTGGTGCGTTGATACACAGCTCTCTGGTTAAAACAAGGAAGGTTTTTCCCAAAACATACACATTCACCTAGGGCAATAGAGAAAGAAAGAGTCAGAAATGGACACAAATTTGTGGTCAAGAAAAAAATAATTACAAAGAAAGAGACAGTGGGAACATTTAACAGACAATGAGAGTAAGAGATATAAGATAAAGGGACATAACAGAGTGTATTTTAACAGATGCTGAAGGTTGCAGAGTTCATAGCTGTGGGGTTTGGATCCGTACCAGCATCACCACAGAGTCTTCACTTTCTCACAAACTATATCTGTCTCTTATCCTTAGAGGATGAACTACAATAACAAAAATATTTCATAAAATAAGCTTTAAACAACATATAACTCAATACTTATCTTCATGGACCACCTTAATAATTTTTTTTTTTTTTTAAAGATATCCATGAAGAACGACGCACATGCTCAAACACAGACACCCTATTTCTTCCATCTGGGCCCCATGGCATTAAAGAGGAATCTTTTTTGGTTGATGTCAGAGGTCATGACCACTGAAAAATAGGATGGCCCTCACACACTCCTGACCTGAGAGGGGCGGCAACAGCCTTATGCCTCAAAAGAGCTCCTCTGTCTGGGGAAGAGCAAAGGAATTTATGGGTCCTTTCTCTGGTAAAATTCCCTAATGACTCAAATACCGCAGTGGACAGGATCTGCGTGTTTAATAGGACAGCCGGGAGGGTAAAACTATAAAACGGACACACCAGCTGGAGGAAAATGGCTTTTGCACATTAACTGGGTTCAAACATCTGGGATTGCTAGTGAAAATGCATCTACTTTGCATTATGTTATTTTTAATACAAATTTATTCATTCTAAATTATACTAACATAAAAAGTTTGAGTGAAAAGCTGTAATTAAAAATGTACATGAACTTCAGAATTTTCAGTATTTAGTTTGGTCCCCTTTCACATGATTAATGTAACAAATTTGGGTAACATAGTATATGGACCAATTCTTACTATTAACTAGTTATTTATTATCATGCCTATTAATAACATATTGGCTGTTTATTAGTACTTATAAAGCACATATTCTGCATGACCATATTCTACATCCCTAATCCTACCCAATACCTAAACTCAACAACTATCCTACTAACTATTAATAATCAGAAAATTAGGACTTTGAAGCAAAAGTCATAGTTAATTGTTTGTTAATAGCGAGAATTGGACTTTAAAATAAAGTGTGACCCAATTTTGCTTTTATTTGACCTAAAACAGTGCATAACCTTCAAAGAAAATTTATTTGTCATTTAATTTATTTTGACAATATTATGTAGATATATTATGTTTGTCACAGTTTAATGTTTCAGATCATCAAACAAATTTAAATATTAGTAAAGGATAACACAAGTGAACACAACAAGCAGTTTTTCAATGAAGGTTTTTATTATTAAGGGAAAACAAAATTCAAAACTACATGGTCCTCTGTGAAAAAGTGTTTGCCCCCTAAACCTAATAACTGGTTTGGCCACCCTTATCAGCAGCAACAGCTGCAATCAAGCGTTTGCGATAACTTGCAATGAGTCTGTTACAGCGCTGTGGAGGAATTTTGGTCCACTCATCTATGCAGAATTGTTGTAATTCAGCCACATTGGAGGGTTTTCGTTCATGAACCGCCTTTTTAAGGTCATGCCACAGCATCTCAATAGGATTCAGGTCAGGACTTTGACTAGGCCACTCCAAAGTCTTCATTTTGTTTTCTTCAGCCATTCAGAGGTGGACTTGCTGGTGTGTTTTGGATCATTGTCCTGCTGCAGAACCCAAGTTCGCTTCAGCTTGAGGTCACAAACAGATGGCCGGACATTCTCCTTCAGGATTTTTTGGTAAACAGCAGAATTCATGGTTCCATTTATCACAGCAAGTCTTCCAGATCCTGAAGCAGCAAAACAGCCCCAGACCATCACACTACCACCACCATATTTTACTGTTGGTATGATGTTCTTTTTCTGAAATGCAGTGTTACTTTTACACCAGACGTAATGGGACACACACCTTCCAAAAAGTTCAACTTTTGTCTCGTCAGTCCACAGAGTATTTTCCCAAGCCGAGCCTTTATGTTCTTTTTGCTCTGCAGCGGTTTTTGTCTTGGAACTCTGCCATGCAGACCATTTTTGCCCAGTCTCTTTCTTATGGTGGAGTCATGAACACTGACCTTAACTGAGGCAAGTGAGGCCTGCAGTTCTTTGGATGTTGTTGTGGGGTCTTTTGTGACCTCTTGGATGAGTCGTCGCTGTGCTCTTGGGGTAATTTTGGTCGGCCGGCCACTCCTGGGAAGGTTCTCCACTGTTCCATGTTTTTGCCATTTGTGAATAATGGCTCTCACTGTGGTTCGCTGGCATCCCAAAGCTTAAGAAATGGCTTTATAACCTTTTCCAGACTGATAGATCTCAATTACTTTCTTTCTCATTTGTTTCTGAATTTCTTTGGATCTCGGCATGATGTCTAGCTTTTAAGGATCTTTTGGTCTACTTCACTTTGTCAGGCAGGTCCTATTTAAGAGATTTCTTGATTGCGAACAGGTGTGGCAGTAATCTGGCCTGGGTGTGGCTAGAGAAATTTAACTCAGGTGTGATAAACCAGTTTTAACAGGGGGGCAAATACTTCTTCACACAGGGCCATGTAGTTTTGGATTTTGTTTTCCCTTAATAATAAAAACCTTCATTTAAAAACTGCATGTTGTGTTCACTTGTGTTATCTTTGACTAATATTTAAATTTGTCTGATGATCTGAAACATTAAAGTGTGACAAACATGCAAAAAAATAAGAAATCAGGAAGGGGGCCAACACTTTTTCACACCACTGTATATGCATATAAATGCTGGACTTACTTGCAGGAGGTCACTCAAGTCCAGCAGCATGTCTGAGAAAGTGCATTAAAGAAATCATACAGAATGGAATTTGACAGACAGTTTTATCCAAAGGCCCTTACAGTGCATTCAAGACATTTAATTTTCAAATGCATGTATTTTCATCGAACCCATGACCTTTACTATTTAGTCTAATACTCTAGGTTTTGCGCAATAATGACCTAAGAGGAGGTTATATCTATAATTAAATTGATCAGTGGTGTGTCTGAAGGTTTTGTGGATGGGCTCTGTATTCTGATTAAAATATATATATATATATATATATATATATATATATACATATAAAACAAGACACAGAGACAGACAGGAAACAAACAGAGGGATTTTGGTCAGGTTTGGTCTCTTTGCTTGACATTTTCCCTCACTGAGTAAAGCTCCTCTGAACCACCACCCCGTGAACCCTGGAATTCCCCGTCTCCCAGCAACCGAGTACTCTGTGTCCATGGAGACCAGAACACCTGTCCAATCAAGACAAAGTGTATTAAAACATCCCATTAAAAACGTCATTGTGGGATTTTCAGTCACCATGGCAGCAATAAGAGATAATCCTAAATTGCGGGATTATGGATGGCCCTGTTAAATTCATGATCATTTTTTTAGGATTTGACATTTCCAGGGAGAAATCTCACATATAGCAAAAACCAACTAATGTTTTCTCTAATCACTTTACAGATAACATTTTACAGAATTTACAGTGTTTAGGTGTCAACATAAAATTACAGATACTGTAAAACACAAAATAATATAAAAATAAGTCAAGTATAAAAAAATTAGTTAAGGATAAAATGGGAAAACAGCTACAATAATCAACAAACTCAGTCGGATTGGTGTTTTAAAGCTAACCTGAGAGCAAGAAACCATTTCGGAGGCTGACATTTGGAAAATAATTCTAGTTGTTTGGCTAAATTTACCCTTTCCAGTGGAGATTGAGACCAACAATACTTCTCTCTCTCTCTCTCACTCACACACACACACACCTCATCCTCCTGGGTAGAAAGTGAAAGCTCTCTCATGAGTTCTTATGTAACCCTACCAGACGTCTGACTGAACATGTATGTTACGTAATCTCAGAGAGTCGGAAAGATACACACGGTCAACTTCTGTTGCCTCTATTTATGCATTTTTGGACAAGTGAAAGCGAGCAGCATCGTCCCTGAAAAACCAAATGCACACATATGTGAGTGTCATTTTTAGACTGTAGAAGGCATATGAAAGCTGAATAAAATCACCTCATACTCAAGTGTTTTCACATGTAGAGTTTATATAACAGAATAAACTGGGCAAATTAAACATCCATCCATCCGTAAACATGTCAATGTTATTGATTGCACCTCATACTGGTGGACTGAACGTTTTGAGTAGCTTACCACTAGAAAGACAACACATTCATTCCCACTTTACATTAAAAGTAAAATGAATCCATAAAGCTTTTATTTAGATCTATTTGCTCATTTTTATTGACCAGAAATGATCATGATCCGGATTTGAACTTGCGCAGCATGAGGCAAATTGCTGGAGGATGTGCACTTACTGCCAGGCTTTGTCTCCGACCCCTACAAGATTATTAAAAACAACTCAAACTATAATAAACTAAAGCAGGGTGATCCAGTCAAGGTTTTTTTTGTGTAATGCAGTCCTAATGCAGTCTCCTGAGAGACACATCCTGCCTTATTTCCTGCCTCACTTTGAACGCACATAAACACCCTGAAAAAGCCAATTCTAATACAAGCGAGATCCCGTCTCGGACACCAGATGAGGTCTTGATGCAGCGTAGGCTAAACAGGAAACTGATAATTTTATACACATAACACACTAAAGATAACAACCTGTGTTAGACTTCGACTCAGTGAGTCAGAGTGAGAGTGTAGGATGATTATTACAAAAATAATCATGAGTGTTCACACACAGGGGAACCAAGGCTATATGACTAAGCATCAGACGCTGTGAGAGTTTGTGTGCGGTGTGGAATGCAGACAAACGTACGTGAGGAGACCAAATCAAGACGACTGACTAATACCATTGACTATCAGCTCCTGCGGTGGACCCCTCTTGCTCAACCTCTCTTCTTCCGTCCTGCTTCGTTTTCTTTCTGTGAAACGCAATCGGAGTCACTTCATTTCTTCTTATTCCATTCTTCTGCAGTCTCTCCTTATATACATTTGCAGATATATACATCACAATTATGTAAATTAGGAGCTGTGAACTCCACTAAGAAAGATGATAAATGAAGAGTATAGTGTACAAACTATGCAGAGCAATACTGGAATACTCCTTACTAAATACTACACAGTATACACTGTGTATACTGACTACTACTACAAATAGTATGCATAAGATTAAGCATTATACACTTACAAATGTTTCAAAAAGTAGTATACTACACTGTTATCACATTATTATCATTGTGAAAGTAAAAATGTTATTTTTTGTTGTCCACTAAAATAAAAACATTAGTATCTACCTCCATTTCATTTATCATACTGGAAATAGGTGGTCAAGACAAGCACATTGCATTGTGGGATACAGTATTTTATGCAGTGTGCTCTGTTGTAACCTAAGCAATTACCAAATGTACTAGGCTGTCTGGGTATCTGTATACAGTGCACAGTACACATATTACAACTTTAGGGATAGTAAAAGTAGCATGTTAAGGTGAGGTCACATCAGCGAGATTTCTACAAAAATGTATGAATTTAAAAAAGGACCACCACACTACTCGATCAACAAAGGGTTAAATTGAGATTTGTTAGGCTAGCCCTCCTAGCGGCCATAAAATGTATAACTTTGAGATGGAAGGATTCTAAACCACCTTCTACCTCTATGTGGATTAAAGAAGTATCATCTGATATACCTTTGGGAAAAATTGCATTTTGCTTGAAAAGACGTCAAGATTTGTTTGTCAAATACTAGGGTAGTTTCCTTTCTTATTTGGGCATAACAGGACAGAATGACTAGATATCATCTAATTTTCCTGTTTAATTTTATTTACGGGTTATTTGTGGCACTATGGGTTGGAGGTCTGGGGTATGTTATAGGGCAGTGTATATGGGAATTATATATTTAGATTCTGTATCTTGTATGTTGTGTTTAACTTGGAAAACCCCAATAAACAATGTTAAAAAAATAAAAAATAAAAGAATTTTAAAAAGGACAAATGGTCCTTTGTCTACAGGCAATTTTGTAGCAATATATGCAGCACATCTCACACAGAAGACACTTTCAAACCAAGCAGCTTTCTGTTGGTCAATGCAGCGAAACAGAATGGCCAATTTGAACACGTTGTAATATCTGTTTGGGGAAAACCTTTACCTCACACAAAATTCCTAACCTCATTGATTCCAATTGAAATGGCCCACTTTAGTATGTTTTTGTGAACTTAGCCATAATATCTTAGAAACTACCAGACAAAACATAGGAGTGCCATCTTAAATCCCACTGGCCAAATGCTTAAAGACTGACAGAAGGATAACAGGTCGTGGAAACGTCAAAATAAAGTTGTGTTTACATAGCCTGTGACTTGTAACATTATGGTGGGATTGGGAACAGCTCTAAAGTGTAGCAAACACCTTACCATCATAAACTTGCACCCTGACCTAGAGCAAAATCAGATTGACACAAACTCTGATGCATCACATTATTTGAATATTTAATCATACTTCACTTTCTCACAAACTATATCTGTGTCTTATCCTTAGAGGATGAACTACAATAACAAAAATATAGCAGACATTTTCCTTTCTCTCTAAAAGCTTCCATCACCTCATGGCCAGAAGGATACGAGGTGTTCCCTCCGTTCGGCAGACGAGGTAGAGACAGGCGGCGATGACATGGGATGATTTGCGCCCTCTGGTCAGATGCTTGCAGAGGGCCATCTTGTAAAAGTTGAAGGCAGTGTCCAGACCGTGCTGATTCATTTGAAGCTGATGACCAAGATGATTTATCTGTCGCTTAGCTGAATGAAACAACCAAAAGATCACAGTCAGGTATTTTGACAGCATATTTACAGCAGATTTAGTTACTTTAGAAGTTAATAGAGGAAACACACAATAGTAAACAGGGATTGTAGGTGGGGGGAGTGGATGTACAGTGCTCTCTCCCACCTTCAATACCACGACTGAGGTGCCCTTGAGCAAGGCACTGAACCCCCAGCATAAATGGCTGCCCACTGCTCCGGGTGTGTGTTCACGGTGTGTGTGTGTTCACTGCTGTGTGTGTGCACTTTGGATGGGTTAAATGCAAAGCACTAATTTCGAGTATGGGTCACCATACTTGGCCACATGTCACGTCACTAAGTCACTAAAAGCCCCTGGTTTGGCCTTCTGGGGATTGAACAAAGAATCTTTGGGTTACCAGTTCTTCCTAAGCGAATATGAAACTGAAGTAGCGACAGATCTTTTCTTCCATATTTCGAAGTATGTATATTCAAGTGTAACAGATTAGCAGAAAAAAACTATAAGGTGGGGAAATACATTTTCACTATGTTTCAGGAATAAAATGTTGTATAAATCAGGAGAATGACATGTGAACAAACCCTTAAGGATATGGAAATGAATAAAACTGGTGTTACTAAAGAGGAAAATTCTGCCTCAGTGCAGGAGAAACCAATACATTTTAGATACGTAAAATGTGATAAATGCTTAAATATCTATTTTGGATGTTTTTTTCCACTAGTCTAAAAGACTAATATCTATCATTCAATCAAAAAAATTTGAGTGTATGGGGGGGGGGACAGTTTTGCCTGTAGTGCTTAGCTTTAGGCAAAATCAATTACCTGAGACATCCTCCATACATCACCAGAGAGAGGTGTATCGTTTGAACTGAAATGCCCAGTTATGACAAGGTATAAAAAAAATATTTAAAAAAATAAAAATTAAACCTGCATGGATACTTCTTTCACAATAAGATTTTAACACACATTTAGAAAGCAGACGAGGTGAAATCTAGTATAAATATGGTGAAGTAATTTTTGTGTGTTATTTTCCTATTCCAGCTGCAGTGGACTACAAGTAATGTTTTTAAAGTGCCTCTACTATTTTTAAAGTTAACACCAAAAACTAATAGTTTAACCATAATCAAAATACTTACAGCAATTATGTGTACTTTGTAACTTCGACAAAATTACTACAAAATATAGGTTTATTTCGATTCTGTATGAGCACCTGTGGATGTGCTGTTTGAGAACAGTTATGAGTCTTTTAGAGTGGGAGGAGAGCATCTTCAATCTGAAAGCAGGTCTGTTTATACAGACTCAAGATCTCACAGAGCATCTTTTGTTCTCTCACCACACACAGATAGTATAAATCTCGATGCAGACATGAGGCCATTAATCGCACGTGTACATTCCCACACACAGACACAAATAAAGTGGCCTCTGCAATTCCCTCCCAGCACACACACAGACCATACGGTTGTCTGACCAAACTGATTCATCGGTTAATACACAAAAGCACATAACCGCACCACACCTTCTGACTTCTCAGGCTTAGTAAGCTTCTTTGGAAAACAACCATTACCATCTGGCTGAAATGAACCTCACACACTTAACTTGAAACCACATTACACAAGCCTACAGTTTCCAAAGAATCCCCCTTTCTTAAAAACAAAGAACGCATATACTTAAACATCTTGCTCAATCCAATCATGTTGTTCAATGGAATGGAACATTATACTGACATATCTAAAACACACAATACTCTACAAGTTGTAAATTGTCAGTGACACATAGTAATGTCTCATAATCACAGGAAATCAGTTTTGAAATGCTTTGGCAAACTTAGGAACTACATATTACAAAAAAAAACAGTTTATACCTTTAAATAAAGACAACAGACTTTACAACGATACCGATATAAGTCAAAGAATAAATTAACATCTATAGCTCTGTATGAAGGAATCGAGACAAAGCTCTTCAAATTTTTAGATTACAAACTCTATGAGAAATGAATGAAAGTCATGTAAAGGGTATAGAGATACCTTAAGCATGTCACAAAATCGAAAAGGTTAGTTAAAAAGTTAACCCTTAAGAAATTTGGGATCACTATAATTTTTTTTTCAGAAAGACATTCATACTTTTATTCAGCATGGACAGATTAAAATGCAGAAAAAAGCCGTAAAGTCATTTATAATGTTTAACTAATTATTTATATTTTAAATAAACACTACAGTTGAACTTTCTATTAATTAAAGAATCCTAAAACATTTTTCACCTTCTTGCACAACTTCAAACAGTTGTTTTTAACATTGATAAGAAGACATGTTTTTTTGAGCACTAAATCAGCATATTAAAATGATTTCTGAGGGATCATTTGACACTGAAGACTGGAGTTAATGGCAGCTGAAAATTCGGCTTTGTCATCACATAAATAAATAAAATACATTAAAATGGAAAACAGATATTTTAAATTGTTATTATTTTATGTCTAATCAAATGAATGTTGCTTTGGTCTGCATGGGAAACTTGCAACAAAAAAAATAAACCTTTCCAAACTTTTGAATAGTAGTGTCTATACTTTCTGACTGTCGCGAAGGGTAAACAAGGGCTTGATGAATGGCATATACTGTACATGAACGCTCACCATTCTGCAGAGTGGCAGCTCTGGACTCCCTCCCAACCCCAGTGTGGAAGTTTCCTCCCAATGATGGCACATTTCCAGATGCTACAGCAAAGCAAAAAATAAAATATATTAGTAAAACTAATATTATGATGACAGGAACACACACATTTCATAACCAAGCTGTAAACTTGTTCTTTCAGTTTCCTCTTTTATTTGTCATAATGTATTTTTAAATGAAATTTTTCTTTGTTTTTAATATTTTTATGTTATTAAATACACTTTGCATTACCATTGTGCAAATAAACCTGCCTTGTCTAGTACTCTTCAGCTTACCCAATACTTCTAAAGAATAATCTTAGAAGAAAGGTAAAAACAACACCCATATTTAAATCTAATATTAGCCAAATGTAGATGAGCTGTTGAAAGTAAGCTTTTACTATCAAAGTCTTCATTCCAGGACATTATTTTTAAAAAACTTGACAGCCACCTGCTGTTTGAAGATGGTACTGTCGTACAAAACAAAAACCCTTATCCCATTTAAATTTTAGTTTTTAGAGGAAATATCTGTATGTATTTTTCAATTTTATTAATTCGATTATAAACCATTTTCCCCCATTTGATTTATAACAGCAGGTAATTAAAAAAAATATGCTATGTACAGAATTATCAAAACTCTAGGAAGGTTATTAAATTTAGAAAAGATTATTCAAATGTAGAAATTTTGTCCAAGACTAGAAGTTTCTTGAACGTTTCATAAAAGTATAAGCAGATTGTAATAGTATAAAATATCTCACAGGCTGATAGTCGACTGAGAGAATATTACAGATAATTCAGGAGATTATTTACAATTTAAGAGAACAGTTTGCAGTCAAGGTTCCTAACAGCAACCCTTTCTAACTGAGGCCTCCATTTGAACATTTCAAACAATAATTGCAAACACTTTCTTATGTAATTCCTTATGTTAAAGAGACTGAGACAAACAGACAGACAAATAATAATACAAGACGTAACCATATAGCTTTTATTTGGTCTGCCCCTCATTCTATGTACATAGAACACATTGATTATTCCTTCATTTATATATTAAAACAAATTAAATTTACTGCAAAATTGGCCTTGTTTGGAGTAGATAAACCATCACTCACAGTCACCAGCAACAAACTGGCCAACGGCGGACGATCCTCCTCCACTGTTCTCCACAAAGGTTACCTCAGAAACGATGATGTTGTCCTCCAGCACAGAGCCGCAGCCCATGCACACAGCATCACCCCGGGCCTGGTCCACATCAATGTCCGTCCCCCCACAGTTCGTACACTTCCTCATGGTCACCACCAATCAGCACACTGGGAATGATCTTTACATGCATGTAAAAACACATCACAGAGAGATCACAGAATTAATCCTAGGTAGAGCTAAGTTGAACGGCATCAATGGCAAACTGAGAAAGCACTTATGGATAGAGGACTCGGAAGCAGTGATTTGAAGTTAAAAACATCTTAATAATGTATTTGTTTATTACAAACATGTGATGGACTAGAGTCGTGTGTATTGTGATGTGTTTATCAGCTGTTTGGAATTTCATTCTTATGGCACCCATTCACTGCAGAGGATCCATTGGTGAGAAAGTGATGTAATGCGACATTTTTCCAAATCTGTTCAAAATTTTAAATTTCAATTTTTGGGTGAACTACGCCTTTAACAACAGTTATTTTATTCTGTTCGACAGTGCTAGCTTTAAAGGGTTAGTTCACTCAAAAATGAAAATTCTGTCATTAATACTCATCCTCATGTCGTTTCAAACCCGTAAGACCTTCGTTCATCTTCAGAACACAAATTAAGATATTTTTAATGGAATCGGAGAGCTGTCTGACCCTGCATAGACAGCAACGCAACTGAAATTTTGAACGAATCTTTAATGTGACTCAGGAAGAACGAGTCGTCTCGGGGAGTGATTCGTTCAGTCGCGCATGCGCAACATCCAATAGGTTCTGTACTGGAATTAGTCAAATAGTTCACCTGGTTCAAGTCTTCGAGTTTTTCCGAGTCATTCGTTCATCACATGACAGCCCCATAAGTTTAACCAATGCAGTCTGAGCCGGAAAGAGACTTAATAATAATAACCAACTCTTTATTACCTTTGTTACAACATTCAGTGTTATGGAAAAGAACCATAATGACAGAAATTCACACATTTATAAACTGTAAGAAATAAAAAGCTACAAATTGAGACCTGAAACGCATCACGTAACTGTAAGAGTAAATAATAATTATAATAATGATGATAATAATAATAATAATAATAACTATGCACCCTTTGTAAGGAAGCTTGTAAATTAACTAATTTCTCTATCCAATGCTGTCACGTCACGTGACAAAATAATGAATGATTCGAAAAACTCGAGAGGTGAACTAATCGATTCTCTTTCCGGCTCAGACTGCATAGGTAAAGCTTATGGGGCTGTCACGTGATGAACGAACGACTCTTCACACAACACAGGGCACAGACTAGAATTATTATGGATTTCTTAAGGGACACAGGGGTTTTTAATAGAGTATGAAGAGTTATAGG